TGTCTAATCCCTGTACATACTATATTTTAAATTGTATTCTAACTGGTATGATATTTTAACATATTTGAAAACAGGAAACTAGTTTCAGTGTTTAACTCCTAGCCATTAATAGGAATTGTCATTAGATAGTAATCACTAATAATTGTTAAGTGTCTAGTTAAGTATTCAATATATTAGCTAATGGAATGCTCCCAACAATAATCTCAAGTAAATATTATTGGTATTCCCATGTTGCAGATGTAGAAACTGAGGCTTTGAGTGGTTATATAGGTCACATAATAGAATAAGGCTAGAATTTGAAGCCAGGCTATATGACTCTAAAATCTGTAGTGCTAACCATTAGGCTTTGCTGCCTCATAGCCAAACTGGATCTTATCTTTTTCCTACACATATACAGAAGATGAATTTTATAATACTGGCCTAATCTATTATTAACAGTTATTTTAGGCAATGTAATAAAAATGTATTTATAAATACTTTTTAAACATTTTAAATAGTTTAGGTTTCAGGACAACTATAAAGGAAATTCAATTTGTAATATAATTCATAGGATCAAGTTTATATTTTTAAAGCAAAATCTCTTTAAACTGGTGACTCAGGTGATGTTTTATTCAGTCTTGCCAAAGATGACTATCATGCTGTGGCACCTTCCATCTTCTTGAAATAAAAATGTGGCATCTTTCAGGGATGTGTCACTTTTGTTCTCATTGGAATTTTTCATGTATCTCTAGCAGATTTCAGGAGCAGTTCCCACTTTTCCATTTTGGCATTAGCTGCACTATATTGAAGTGCATTACATGGTGTCACTGTAGTCAAGCCTGATTCAACAGAGCTTGCCCCAGTGAAGCATAGAAAGTGTTATGTCAGGTGATGTCTCTGTCCCTAAGGGTGGTGACAATTAGCAGGTTTCATTTTATACTGAACTAGAGGCCCGGTGTACGAAATTCATGCACTTGGGGGGGGGGGCATCCCTCAGCCCGACCTGCTCCCTCTCGCAGTCTGGGAGCCCTTGGGGGATGTCGCAGTCGGACATCCTTAGTGCTGCTGCGGAGGCAGGAGAGGCTCCTGCCACCACCGCTGTGCTCTCCAGCCGTGAGCCTGGCTTCTGGCTGAGCGGTGCTCCCGCTGTGGGAGTGCATTGACCACCAGGGGGCAGCTCCTGTGTTGAGCGTCTTCCCCCTGGTGGTCAGTGCACATCATAGCGACCAATCGTTGCACCATTTGATTGATTTGCATATTATGCTTTTATTATATAGGATCCTGGTAACCCCTCAACCTGCCCTCCTTCTGATAGGAGAAAAAAGAAATAGAGGATGACTCTGAAAGAAAAGCGAGGCAGCAATAAATCAAAATAAAATGTCACTTTAATTTGATAGAACAGTTACATCCCAGTTATATTTTACCCAGTCTCATTGCACAGGGTAAAAATTAGTCAGCTAATCTCACTGGATTTTCATTGAGGTTTGGAAAACAGTTGGCTATTGGATAGGTCAAAGACCTGTGTATGAAGTCCCTATTTGGGGTGGGGGAGGGCTGACAAAAGCAGAGATTTGCTCTTTATGAAGACCCATTTAATAGTTAATTCTTAAGGATATAGGAGATTTTTCTGAAATTTTTTGGTGTAAAGAGCCAGAATTTTAATTTATTCTTGATCAGCATGATATAGTAAAAGGAACCCTGAACTAGGAGTTGAGTTCAAACTTGGGTTCTAGAAATACAGAAAGGACCTTAGATCATTTAAAGTCTAACCTTTTATTTAATAGACTAGAGGCCCGGTGCACGAATTCGTGCATGGGTGGGGTCCCTCGGCCTGGCCGGCAATCGGGGTGATTGGGGCATCTCGCCCAGTCCTAATCGGGGCTGTGGGAGGTTGGCATGCTGCGGGGAGAGCCTGGGGGGGAAGGGGCCACGGGAAGTTGGCTGGAGGAGGTTGACTCTGAGAGCACACTGACCACCAGGGGGCAGCTCCTGCATTGAGTGTCTGCCCCCTGGTGGTCAGTGTGCGTCATAGTGACTGGTCAACTGGTTGTTCCGGTAGTCCTAACGGTCACTTAGGCTTTTATATATAGAGATGAGGAGCAGAGAAAATAAATGATTTTGTCCAAGGTTACACAGACAGTGTTAGCTTCTGCTCTACAGACTTTTTTATTTGGTATGCTTTTTAGAAATCACCCATGTGATTTCAGATTAAATGTTCAATCAGTACCGGAACCTTTTTATTATTTTTAAAAATATTTTTTTATTGATTTTAGAGAGGAAGGGTGAAGGAGAGAGATATAGAAACACCAATGATGAGAGAGAATCATTGATCAGCTGCCTCCTGCTTGTCCCACACTGGGGATGTCCCATACTGGGGATTTAGCCTGCAACCTAGGCATGTGCTCTGACAGGGAATCGAACCATGACCTTCTGATTCATAGGTTGACACTCAACCACTGAGCCATGCCAGGTGGGCTACACAGGAACTTTTAAAAATGTTTACAGACAACTTTAGCCATATGTTCCTTTCTTCCTACCTCATTCTTACTCCTTAAGGTACATGATTAGTGAAATTATGTCTGTTGTCTTTTCAGTTCCCTTGGATTACATGCTGTCTCTATGTGAGGGACTATTGGCTCCTTAAACATCAGGATAGGAAGTACCCAAGTTTCCTTAGGTGATGAGGATTTAAATGAGGGCTAATTAGGGAAGTACAGGCATTGTCTCAATACCTTTGGAGCCAGAGTTCTGGAAGAACAAGGAGGATGGCTCCTCCTTAGGCTCCAGGAGGACCTGCTTGTAGCTGCCAGTTATTGGTCTTCCCCTCAGAATTGGGCTTCTGATTTTTCTGTCTGCACCTTTCCATAGCTCATCTTCTTTATGTCTGCTTCTCTAATTCTTCTTTTGCAGTAGTTCCCAAACTCCAATAGTATCAGACTAGGAGGCTCCTTAAATTATTCCACTCCTGGAGATTCAGATCCTGTAGATCTGAAGTAGGTCAAGGAATCTGCATGTTTAACAACTTCCACAGAGGATTCTGATAGGAGTGGATGGGAGTTAGGATCACACCTTACATAGAAACACCCCAAACATAAATCCACGTAAAATTTTTGACTCCCCAGAAACTTAATTGCTAATAGCCTATTGTTGACTAGAAGCTTTATGAATATGTATTATATACTGTATTCTTACAATAAAGTAAGCTAGAGAAAAGAAAATATTAAGAAAATCATAAGGTGGTGGAAAGACATGAGTTGGGGTGGTGAACACACAATATAATATGATATATTATAGAACTCTACACCTTAAAACTATATAATTTTATTTACTAGAGGCCCGATGCACGAAATTCATGCAAGAGTAGGCCTTCCTTCCCCCAGCTGCCAACACTGGCTTCCCTCTGGCACTGGCTTTGTCCAGAAGGACGTCCGGTCTAATTAGCATATTATGCTTTTATTATTATAGATGTAACCCCAATAAAGTCAATTTAAAAGAGAAAAGCATAAGAAAAAATATGTTTACAGTATTTATTGAAAAACAAACAAACACAAAACGTGTATTGGTGGACCCACACGGTTCAAACCTGTGTGTTCAAGGGTGAATTGTATATATATGTAGTACTAGTATTATTAAACATACTAGAGGCCTGGTGCACGAATTCGTGCACTGGTGGGGTCCCTTGGCCTAGCAGGCAATCAGGGCTGGCCAGCCGGGGGGAGGGACCATGGGAGGTTGGCTGGCTGTGGGAGCACACTGTTCACCAGGGGGAAGCTCCTGCAGTTGAACATCTACCCCTTGGTGGTCAGTGTGCGTCACAGCTACCGATCGACCGGTCGCTTAGGCTTTTATATATATAGATATAAAAATAGACAATAAAAATGGAAAAGATAGCCCTAGCCGGTTTGGCTCAATGGATAGAGTGTCGGCCTGTGGACTGAAGGGTCCCAGGTTTGATTCCGGTCAAGGGCACATGCCCGGGTTGCGGGCTCGATCCCCAGTGGGGGGTGTGCAGGAGGCAGCCGATCAGTAATTCTTTCTCATCATTGATGTTTCTAACTCTCTCTCCCTCTTCCTTCCTCTCTAAAATCAATAAAAATATATATTTTTTTAAAATGGGAAAGATAAAAATGAATACATTTCAGTGTTTCCTTCCTGTACCTCAGTGTATCCCTTGGGCTGCTTGCACTTTCCTTGCTACTTTTCTGTGTAGCTTAAATTACACCATCCCTATAGAGTTTCCTTTATTGGGAAGAGTAAGGAAAGTGCCAAGGTGTCTCAAGGATCAGCTCATAGGCCTTTGGTTTAAGTGCTAATTTCTTGTTTTATTTAACTAGCAGTTAATGACTGTGTGAGTCTCTATTACATGATGGTAAGCAAGCAACTTACTTGGAAGGAGCCCTGTGAACCCTCCAGAGGAAAGGGGGAATGTGTGAGCATGATAGCTGCCATAGGTCTAATGAACATGTGTCTTCCATCATAGAATTGTGAACTGTTTCTGAGCATGGCAAAGTGCAAAGGTGACTCCACAGAGGCTATGTGTGCCCTCGGCAGCTTTGCATGGCTTCCCAGAAGGAAGTCTGCTCTGCCCCAGGCTGCTGTACCAGGATGTGTATGGCACAGGGAGGGTGGAATGCTGTTTAGAGAGCTCTGCAGACGAGAGAGGGACAGGGTACTTCTTGGAATCAGGGCCGTTAGTAGTCATGTATATGTGGCTATTTCCTGATTGATAGGGATATGTGAAAATAAGTTACTTAGAATTTTATTGTTTTTCACTAAACTTTATACTATTGAAAATCTCTAGGCTGGAAACATTTCTTTCTGTCACTTTGCCTTTTTCCAGTTGGCATGTGTGCTTACGATTTTTGTGTTCTGCTTTTTATGCTTAGCATTATCTTGTTTAAAGATATCTGCTTGTCAACCTGGTCCCATATACTTGTCATTTTTAATGGCTGTCTATATAATCTCATTCTTTCTTGAGATTCATAAGTTTATTCCACTGAATCTTCTATTTTTTTTTGCAGGGTATGCGGAGAGATTTGCTGCATTTCTAAAATATCTCTGAAAACAAGCTGCATTTCAGAATTGAAACCAGCATTTCCTTTTCTACTTTAAGAGTGCACGCAGGAAGCCATTGGGCACACCAAGGTATTGAATTATCTTTCCATGTCTTTGGGTCTATAAGAAATCTCAGCAAGAGGTCTCAGACACCAAACTGGGGGGAAAATTAAACTGACAGAGTACTTGATATTTCCAAAGAGTCACTTAAGTTCTATTATTGCCACGTTCAAAATGTAGACATAGTTCAGTAATGTGATTAAAGTGACTTTCACCGATAGCCACTATAAGATATAGTGGTATGTGATAGCTGGTTTATCATTTTGGGTGTAACGATTAGCTAAAGCTATTTTTCTCTAAAGGGTCAGTTAGTTCTCTTGTTTTTCTCTACAACTTCAGCTTTAGCAAGGAGCCATCATAAATTCTGTGACATAGCTGTCTCCTTATCTGTCTTGGGAGTTATAGACTGCACATATAAGACAATTCATGTGCCTTTGCATAATGAATTGAGTTTTATAAATCATAAATCTTCACTTAACATGCAGGTGGTGTTGGGTGCCAGGCTTAGAAAAGCTGATGTGGTTGCCAAGTTCATGAATGTCATAAATCATTCATGCTAAGGTAGCCCAGAATCATGCTGTCTTCTGAGGCAGACCAATATCAAGGTGGTAGTTAAACACAAAAATGGGAGTCTCAGTGATTGTTTTTCAAAATCAGATGCACTTGCCCTGGCCTGGTAGCTCTTTGATTAGAGTGTCACCCTGGTACACCAAGGATGGGTGGAACAACAAATTGATGTTTCTCTCTCTCTCTCTCTCTCGCTCTCGCCCTCCTTCTCGCTCTTGCTCTCTCACGCTCTCTCTCCCTCTCCCTTTCTCTCTCTCTCAAATCAATTTTAAAAAATCAAATGTACTTTTTATTTGAAGAGTTAAACTAAATTACCTTTCTCTTTTTAGTTAAAGTCAGTTTTCTAGGACCCTATTTCACCCTCAAATAATCTATCAAAATTTTTCTTCCCTAACCCCTGAATTCTATCAGAAATCCATCACAAAATACATAACCTGTACATTTGCATTCCAGACTTTAATGGGCTGAAAATGAGATTTAGATGTTTCAGTAAATCTTGAGGCACATTATTAGGAAAAAACCCTTTGAAGTTTTGGGGGGATTTTCTTCTTGTGCCATTATTTTACATGAATAGTAGGCAAACTTAGCCCTCTTTCACACTGCCTATGTCTTTGGTACCAAAGAAGGGGAAAGCGTAGGGCCTGAAGAGAAGTGATGCTCGGGACAGAAAGCTGTGTAGTATTTTGTGCCCCTTTAAGTTCCCGGGCTTTATCCAGACTGCTGGAATGTGAATATTAAACTGAATTGTCTTCCCTGAGAGCTGCATTTGGTGAAAATGAAGAAGGCTAAGGATATTTCAAGAAAAACATAAGAGTGATTTTGGTAAGATCTTTAAAGAGAAAAATAAAGTTTTTCCTGAGGCTGTTAGGTACTCCAAGAGTAGTTAAGTGTCTGTATCCCTTTGTGTAGTCTCCAGCAGAGGGCCATATGACTCATGGATAACATGTGACTTCTCTTTGGCGGACCACAGAGGTCCTTTTGGTGTGAATATGTGAATAGCTACCTCTCCTGTGTTCATCATGTGGATAGCCTATCCTTGGTTAAAGATCATAGGGGCCACCCTGGTCAGGTAATTCAGTTGGTTAGAACGTCATCCCAATAAACCAAGGTTGTGGGTTCAATCCCAGGTCAGCAATGAATGCATAAATAATGGAACAACAATTCAATAAATCTCTCTCTCTCTCTCTCTCTCTCTCTCGTCTCTTATCAAGAAATAAAAAGAAATAAAAACTAGCTCTAGCTGGTTTGGCTCAGTAGATAGAGTGTCGGCTGCAGATTGAATGGTCCCTCTTAAACAAACCAACCTTTCTGATACCTGCTCAGAGTAATTATCCTCCCACCAAGCTATGGTTGCCATCTGCACCTCCTTGGCCACTTCTATTAGGGTGTCTTCACACAAATAAGCAGGCTGATTAGTCAGAAAGTTCTAACTCATACTCTGGGGATGGAGAAGCCCCTGGGGCTCCATGGTACTTCCCTTGCTCCCTTACACCAGCCTCCTGTGACCCCATGCCAAGCCCTATCTGGCCTCCATTCATGTGGATCCAGTGATAGGAAACAGGCAGAGAGGATTTCAGTATCATCTGGGTAGCTGGACTGAGGCCTTTAAGTTCCTTCAGTCCTACAATTTTCACTTGCTTTGTTCTTAATTAACATTTAAAATCCCCCACTTCCTGCTGATCCCTTTAGCCTTCTCAGCTTGGCCTCTTTCCTGCATTATAGGTAGATACACTCCAGCCACGCAGCCTTCTTTCAGTTCCTTGAATGTGTTGCTTCTGACTTTCCATATGCCCTTTCTTCTCCCTGGATCACTGTACTCCCCACCAGTCATTTGTCTAACCCTATTTCAGGTCCCAGTTTTAACGTCACTTGTGTTAGGCAAGCTTCTCTAACCCCCAGACTAGATTAGATTTTTAATATCTAAAATAGTCCTGCATATTACCTTGCATAGTATGTTGTGCATTTGTATTAGTTAAACTACTTTTTAGTAAAATTTTGTTTAGTGTTTATCTTCCCAGCATTTTGAAAGCTCCACATGTGCAGGGACTCTGTCTGTTCTGTTCAATATTTTATTGCTAGAACCTAGTCCTATGCCTGACACCTAATAGCTGTTCAGTAAACATTCATTGATTGGCCGACTCTGCTTCCCCTCTCAATCATGCATTTCTCCTGCTGTTCATTCATGTACTGGTTTTCTCCTGGGGCACTTTTGTGGGTTCTTCAGAAATCTGTACTACCTTACACACACCACACACACACGCACACACACACACACACACACACACTTGACCTGTACAAGTAAACTCTCCTCTGTCAGCTGCTTTCTTCCTCAATAACCCCTCGTAATGCAACAGTCTATTTTCAGTTTCTCCATGAGAAACAGGTCTTTGCTCACACAACCTCTGAGACTATGGGCAGATTCTAGTATTGCAAAGCAGCTGCTAGCCCATACAGTGATCCCTAAATTTCTTGAGCTGGAGTCAGAAATCAATTCAGTCTGCCCCTCTAACTTCAGGAGACCCCTTGAAGCCCTTCTCATTAGGCTTGTGGTAAAATGCAGGTACCCCCCCCCTTTTTGGAGGGGGTACCCACAGCACATCAACACTTCTAGCCCAATAAAACCTTTCGAAAACCTTTCTCTTAATATCCACCAGCTTCTTTTCCCCCTCGATATGGGGTGAAGGTTTTAGAGTTTTATAATTGTTTTTCAACTGATTTCTATGAAAATTTTTGTTGTTGTTGTTAATCCTCACCCGAGGATATTTTTCCATTGATTTTTAGGGAAAGTGGGAGAGGGAAAGACAGAGAGAAACATTGATATGAGAGAAACACATCAATTGGTTGCCTCCTGCATGAGCCCTGACCAGGGCCTGGGCTGGGCAAGAGCCTGCAACCAAGGTACATGCCCTTGACTGGAATCGAACCCAGGACCCTTTGGTCCAAAGGCCGACACTCTATCCATTGAGCATTACTGGCTAGGGCAGATTTCTATGAAAATTTACATATTTGTTGGCACCTCCCTTTGGTATGACATGGATACTACACAGTGAAGCCTGTCAGCTTCTAAATAGAGTAAGTAGTTACTATAGTTAAACATGTATTTTAGGAAACAAGTAATTTATTTCTGAGTAAGGGTAGGTAATGTCATTTTCTCCATCTCTCTTCTGTTTAGGAAGTTTACTTGTCCTCATCTATAAAATGGAACCCCATCCTTTCTTTGCCTCAGTAAGGACAGAGAAATAAGAAATTGTGAGCATAAAATGACTCAGGATGGACAACAGGCCCTGGGGAATAGTTAAATAATCTGCAGAGGAATAATTTATCATAAAGAAGGGAAGTAGAGATGAAGGGCTTAATGGAAAGAAGAAAAGAAAATACCCTGGTCATCAGTGTTTTTCTAAAACCCATCCTAACCCCTCCTACCCCTGCCCTGGTTTGGAGCTGTTTTCTTGTTATATACAGGTCCCTATTATAGCACTAAAGCAATGCTTGTTCAGAGCAGAGCCAGCTCCTATTAAACCAATAATCCTTGGTTCTGTGTTTTCTAGATGTATTTGTGTCTGTGTCTGTGAGTTGTAGGTAGGAGGGGGTAGATGTCATCACTTTTGACAAAATGGCAGAATATCTACTCTATCATGATGAAAAGCATGCTGGTCTCCTGGTTCAGAGCCAGAGCCTGCCTTGTAAGGAATTCAAAGGCTGCACCCCGGAGCTGCTGTCAAGCCAGCAGATGGAGTAGCAGTCCTTCTCTGTGTGCCTCTGGGCCCACCTGGGCTGTATGCTGGGTGATGCTGGGCCCAGCCTGTGGCCAGAGGGGACAAGGGAATGAATACAAATGATTGCACCTTGTGGCCAGCACTGTTGTCCTGTCTGCAGGGAAGTTTGGTAAAATATGATCCTGGGAAAGTCGTTTTCATGTGCCTCTCTGGAATTGCTGCAGAAGCAATTATAAGGAATGAGTGCTTGTATGTCTGAGATAACTGTAGGGCATAAGAGAAGGGAAGATATAGAGATGACAGAATCAAGTCCTGAGTAGTGGGGGAATATGGCACCATCTCCTCACCCCTGAAAAACCTTAGGGAAGACACAGGAATACAACCAGTGGCTCTTAATGGGAAAGGGCAATCTTAAGAGGAAAGTTTGGACAATGAAGCCAAATTACCATCTGCCTAACTCACTCTTCTCTAAATTCCAGGCACTGGGGTCTTTGTTACTAAAATCTGTAGATTGCTTAAGAACTTTACTTTGGGGCCAGTAGTAGAATTTAAGCTTCCCTGAGATTACTTCTTTCTATTTTCTAAGAAGTAGCTGGATATATGGCAGTTCTTAATAAATAATGGAGGTATGAATGGCGCTCCCATTGAGAACTCTCTTTTACCTCTCTCAGGCCTACAGGCATTCTGTGAAATGGAGAGTCCTCCCCACTTTATCCCATAAGAATGTAAAGGGGCTTCTCAATGGAG